GGCCCTGGAGCCCTGCTGCCCCCTCAGCTCTCGCCCGCCCTGCCCCTCACCCCCACCCACATGAACTACACCCCCTCGCCCACCCTGAGCCCCATGTACCCCGGCGGCTCCCACTTCTCCTTCAACCCCGAGGACATGAAGCGCTACCTGCAGGCGCACACCCAGAGCGTCTACAATTACCACCTCAGCCCCCGGGCCTTCCTCCATTACCCCCATATCCTCGTGCCCCAGCCCCAACGCCCCGAGAAGCCGCCCCCGCCCGAGGAGCCCCCCGCCCCCTTCAAATTCAAGCTGCAACCTCCCCCGCTGGGCCGGCGGAACCGGGACAAGGCACCGGCGCCCCCCGGCGAAGGGGCCGCCCCGGAGCCCCGGCTGCCCTGCATCAAGGTGGAGCCCATCTCGGAGGGGGAGTCGGAGGAGGAGGAGGTGACGGTGGAGGTGACGGACGTCAGCGAGGAAGATGAGGAGGTGTTCAAGGCTCCCCCCGCCCCGCCTGAGAAGCCTGGGGAGCCCCCGGTGGCCCCGGCCCCCCGGCAGGGCGAGGAGAGCGGCCAGTGCATCCCCCTTAAGCTGCGCTTCAAGCGGCGCTGGAGTGAGGACCAGCGGCTGGAAGCGGGCGGGGGGGCCGGCCCCAATGAGGCGGATGACAAGAAGGTGAAGGGGGAGCGGGAGGGCGGGGGCGCCCCGGCCGGGGATGGGCGGCGCGTCAGCACCGACCTGCCCCACGCCACGGCCCAGCTGTCGCTGGAGAACAAGGACTCGTAGAGCCGGCGCCCCCAGGGACGGACGGACAGGGCTGGGGTGCCGTCTTCTGCTGCCTTAACTCAGAGATTTTAACCCTTCTCTGGGCCGCCTTCTCTCCGGGACCCTGTATGTTGAAATGGGGTAGCGGGCGCTCAGCTGTTTTTACTTCGATATACATATATATATATTTTTGGGGGGATGATTTTAAATCTGGGGGCAGCTTTCCTTTCAGGGTCTCTGGTTTTTAAAGAGGGGACGACCCCAGGAATTTATATCACGTAGAATTTTGTTTTTAACCTTTTCCCCATCCCCTGAATCCCCTCGTTTATATCCAGTCGCTGCCTTGTTTGGGGGAGGGGTCATCTTAATGTGGGGGGGATGTTGAGGGATCTCAATGTCCCTCGCCCCTCGTTTGGCAGGAAACAGGGGCTTTAAAGCACAACAAACTCTCTTTAATCCCTGTCTGGCTGGATCAGAAATGGAAACCAGTCCTGCAGCACCCCCACATTATTGGAGGGCTGGGGGGGCATAAGAACGGCCAGACTGGGTCAGACCAAAGGTCCATCTAGCCCAGTGTCCTGGGAGAGAGTGGACGCCATATTGTGCCCCCGGGGCCTACGGACCTAGCTTCTCCGTCCCCCCAGGTTAGATTGGTCTGTATGAGGCTGTATGGCCCCTTCTTTCATTGAGGGGGACAGTCTGGCGTTTGGGGGCCCGCAGATTGCTCGGGGTGCTAGAGATGGCTTTAGATAACCAAAAATGAGTGGGGTGGGTGCGGCCGCTGGCCTGAGCCACCCCAGGGGGGTGGGGGATATCTCAAGTGCCTGTTGAAGTACTGTCTGTGTGGGAAATGGGGGTGGGAGGGGCAGGCACCCCATGTCCCCCCCCAATGGAGTAGGACACGAACTGACATTTCCCCCCACTTCCCAATGCGGTTAGCCTATTGCCAACCCTGCAAGGACGCGAGGAGCCATTCCCCTGCTTCCCCGTCACGAGAATGGGGGGGATCCCCACTGTGGGGGGAGCTGGGGGTTCTCACGAATCGGGCGGGGCCCTGGCTGACTGGTGTGGGTGCAGCTGGTGCATGAGGGGAGCTGGGTACCCCCCCAGTTCTCCTAGGGCGGGGCTTGTGGATCCAGACCTGGAAGCAGGGTGGGGGGCTGACTCCAGTCTGTGGGCCCCCTGTTAGTAGGGGCTGGGGGGTGACTTATGAAGCCTTATTTGAATTCCTGTACAGCCGGGGCGGGCGGGCTCGGGTTACGAATGTATAAAAATAACCAATAAAAGAGTTGGAAACTTTGTCGCTTTTTGCTCCTTTTTGTAACACAACAGCAGGGGGTGCGGCGGGGAGGGGGGGCAAGCGCCCATAGGTGCTGCTGGCGGGGGGGGCGCCGGC